GCAGATAATGGTACCACACACATAGTTTTACGTAACCGCATTTATTTCCTCAACTTCACGCCTATTGAATCTTCACTGACAACAATCGTTGGCCTGACGCCATGGATAGAGGGGTATGGCAATTAGGGATGGGCAAATACCCATTGGTTATGGGTAACCACGGTTACCCACCCATTTAAATTAAACGGTTACGGTTATGGGTAATAGTTTAGATAAATAAATGGTTATGGGTATAACCGTTTACCTGCTAAATTTAAATGGACAATTATGGGTTTTAACCCCGGTTGTGAACGGGTAACCGTCTACCCATTTATTTTGTATATGTAAAATTAACACAAACCATGTTCTTGATCCAATAATACTTAGCACCCAATAAATTAGCAAGGAATTCATCGGTCATTCTCTCAATAACACTGCTACAGGAATGATGATTCTCATCATCAAGGAATTCGCTAAATTAATTTAAATTCCTTGCGGGTAACCGTGAAATTGACAGAAATGCTTTGATAGAAATGTCTTCTAAACAATTTTTGTAAACCAATAATACTTAGCAAATATTATATTTACCTTCATTGGTAATAGTTAAAAATATCGTCCGTAAACTATTATTTCAATTATTTGAATGGTATAAGGACTTAAAAAATTAAAATACGGAAATGTATGATGAATGTACCTATAACAGTGTTTAATTGTCAAAAAAAAAAAGAAAATTATGACAATTTTTTTTAAAATTTTCAAGTTGTAAAACATGTAGACGGGTGAAAAAGGAGTAATGGTAAAAAAAAAGAAAAAAGATAAACGGGTTAAAAAGGGTAAATGGGTAAACGGGTATTAAACGGTTATGGTTAAATGGGTATGGTTAACCGTTTATAAACGGTTATGGTTATGGGTATAACCGTTTAGACAATTACCCAATGGGTAAATGGTTATGCGGGTATGAGCATAAACGGTTATGGGTAAATAACCGCGGTTACCCGCCCGCCATAACCGTTGCCCATCCCTAATGGCAATACCCAACTGGTGTTACCCAATGGCACTCTTCTTACCATTAACCAACCATTATATTATCCTTGTTTCAGTCAAACGTTGTTGAGTGTTAAGGACATTCGAGCTAACAAATTTCATTGTGAAACCATAGAGGAAAATGACGTTGAATATCTTCGCATCACTTTCACTTCATGCTGCCAAAAACTCATTGAGAAGTTGACAACACTCTAGTCGGGTCTTTATAAGACATTATTGAACGATCAAGGCAAACCTAGTCATTCATTTGAAGCCATAAGGCGCCCTATTGTTCACAAGGAATTTTGCATTTGTAAGACTTCTTGCCCAAACCACTAAGTTGAGGGCACAATACCAGGATTATCCAATAAAATATATAAGATTGGATAATACACATAGTTTATATCGAAAAACTTTAAAAATTATTGCATGAGTTTGGGTATTGAAGTTGAACATCCAGTCGCATATGTTCACACCCAAAATAGCATAGAAGAAGCGTTCATCAAACGTATCTAAATGATAGCTAGAAGCTTGGTAATGAGGTCCAAGATTCCAATTTTTGCTGGGCTATGCAATAATGCACGCATCGAATTTGGTTAAATTGAGGCCCACTGCCACCCATCCCTTTTCTATGCAAGAATTGGAGATTGGATATGAGCCAGATGTCTCAAAATTATGCGTATTTGGGTGTGTTGTATATGTGTCAATTGCACCGTCATAACGTTCCAAAGTGGGCCTTTAACAGAGGAAAGAGATTTAGGTCGATTAAGTGTTCTCTTCCATCATTTGTTACTTGGAATCGTTGATGGGATTTCTATTTATTGCCTGGTTGGCAGATTGTGACTTTGATGAGTCAACTTTCCAGTTGTGAAGAGGAGAGGATCATACTCGTGTTCCCGAAAAAATGCCTGAATTGACGTGGCTTGCCATCACTTTGACTTATCTTGATCCTTGAATTGTAAAATGCAAAAGCAAAATGAGTAGAATCTTAGATTGAAGCCTTTAATATATGTTTTGAAACAATCTGGACGGATGTGGTACAAACTCCTAAGTGAGTACTTGATCGGAATGCGATATGAGAACAATGAATTATGCCCTTATGTGTTCGTTATGACCAAGTCCTATTTTGCAACAATTACAGTATATGTCGATGACATGAACATCATTGGAACACCAGAAGAGATCCAAATGATTGCTATGCACTTGATGAAGGAATTTGAGATGAAAGATCTAGGTAAGACTAAGTATTCTATCAGCTTATAGATTGAGCACTGTGAAAATAGGATCATAGTCCACCAATCGAACTACATTCACAAAGTGTTGTGTTGATTTAACTTCCTAAAAGTAAAGTCATCTAGTACATTTATGGTTGTTCGATCTTTTGATCCTAACACCATTTTAGTCCTAAAGAAGATGATGAAGAGATCATTGGACCATAATTCTCCTATCTTACTGCGATTGGAACTTTGTTATACTTAGCCCAGTGTACTAGACCAAACATCTCATTTGCTGTGAATCTCTTGGTTTCGTGCTAACACGCCGCCGATGGAATGACATTAAAGACATATTTAGATACCTTAAGGGTAATATGGAAATGGACCTATTTTGTACCTACCCATCTCAGAAGTCTGATGCATGCTTGTTGGATTTGCCGATATTGGGTACCTATTAAACCGCACAAAGTACTTTCCCAGACGGGTTATGTCTTTATCGTCGAAAGCAACGCTATATCCTGGAGGTCTACAAAACAGACTTTGGTTGCTACTTCGACTAACCATGTTGAACTCGTGGCCTAGGCTTATTATGAAGCTACCCGAGAGTGTAGTTGGCTATGAGTTATGATCAAGCATATTCGAAGTACGTGTAAGTTGACCTTTGCTATTGATGACATACTGATCATCTATGAGGACAACACTACATATATCAACAAGTTAAAGTTAGGCTTAATCAAGGGCGATGACACCAAACATTTTACACCTAAGTTTTTCTTCTCACACGACAGTTGCAAGAGAAGAAAATTGAGGTCCGTCATATTGGTTCCTAGTATAACGATGTTGGCTTATTTAAGAGCTCATTTTAGAGCACCATAGAGGTATTGGGTGACACAGGCTTTCGAAACTAGCGAAGGTATCTTGTCGATGCAGATGTGTGTTGGGTTACGCAGGCTTTCGAAGCTAGCGAAGATATCTTGTTGATGCATATGTTTAGAAGCACCTAGTCATGTACTAGTAACGCGTTGGCTCATCTACTTTTTTCTCATTCACTAAGTTTTTATCTCACTAGGTTTATCTTATTAAGGTTTTTAATGAGGCACCAGTTCTGGCCTTCTGACCAGACAGTAACGGTCATACGTCACTTGAGCCATGCTCGAAGTCATGGAAGTCCTCCTTAGGAGTTTTGCTATTCTCAGGGGGAGAAATCCCAGGAGTACGAAGCTTCTCCCACACTATCAGCATTTCTCCCTACTTGGGTTTTTTCGGATAGCCCCTGTAAAGAGCATACACTTCATTCTTAAGAGAGATAATGATGAGGCATTAACATGTAGTTCTCATGATTATCAAACTGAGCAATTTGTGAAAGTCCAAGAGGGAGTGTTGCATGACATTTATGTCCGTGCACTAATTGGTGATTGTTTGAATGAATACATCATTCATTCCTCAATTAATTGTTGTAACCGTTAAGGCCATTGATTCCTCAAATGAATAAGCCATTCATTTCTAATTGATTAGGCGATTGATTCTCCCTATTGAATTAGGAGATTTGTGTGATTTCCATGATAACCACACCACTCTATAAAGGTGATTATGCCTCACATTGTAACATATTACAACAAATTCTTGAATAAAATTCTCATATCTCTCAAATTATTTTCTTTTACAACACTTTTTATATTACAGTTTTTTTATATTTTTTTATAATTTTTTATATTTACACCCACACAGTGTGTGGGGCTTCATATAGTAAAATTAAAATTAAAAAAAATCCAACAGGACACAGAATCCCACAAATTTAGTCGGTTGCAAACAGTACTTGTCTGGAAGGGAAGCTTTACACATGCACCATCGCGAACGTTACGCACAAGCACATAGAAAGCCAAAACTTTACCATAACCGTCCATTTGTTTCCACCACCGTGGTGATTTGATTACAAGAAAGTATGGATTCGCTTTGTTGCCTGTTTGAATAAAAACATGGGTCCAATCCAACGCCCATGGTAATTGGCATCTCTCTCTACTTTCTCTTCCTCTATATGTACTTCCTCACCTGAACTTTAATTTCTGCAATTCCACTAAAAAAAAAATTTAGAAAGAAATGGATGTTTATATTTCAGAAGAGTATGTTATGAGGAGAAGGATGGAAAGAAAGGCTGCTGCTGGCAATGGCAATGGGAAAAGTTCAAAGATGGTGCTGCCTGAATCTGGAACGAGAAGGAGTGAGAAGAGGGAAGCTCGGCCAGTACCAGGTCAAGCATTGCGGCTTGAAAATAATAGTGGACTAAGTGACATTGTTTTTAGCTGCTTCTCAGCATAATTTACCACTTAATTAGGCTTGTATGTTTATAGCGTGTTTAATTTGTAATGTGTCTTGATTTAGACGTACATTGATCCCTCTATTTTTTATTTTTTATTTATTTTGTCAAACATTGATCCCTCTATTTCACTTCAGTAGTTTTGTAATCTTTACTGTTGGACGGAAGTGGCGAAATACCCCGGATTTATCATAACATTTTAATAATTATTGTGCATTAACCAGGGATTCAAAGTTCAATTTTACTTTGTTATGTGTACTGGAGCTCCACATGACATCCTTTAATCTTTCGGTCATGTAAAGTGTACTAGTGTTACTGCATCGCTACATTTCTGCACACCTTTATTAATTTTTGATTATTTAATTATTCTTTAATTTATTTAATATGATAGCCAAAAAAAAAAAAAAGGTATATAGAAGTGAAAAGAGTGCAAAAAAATCATTTTCCTTTTGAAATAATTGAACACACTTAAACAAAATTTCTGTCCAATTTATTATTTGATTGGCAAATATGTCTTCGAAACTCCCATGAGACATTATAAGAGTGCAAGGATTACAAGAAATTTTTTCCACGTGGTGTTACAAATTTACATATTCAATATAGCTTTTTATATGCGTAAGAAACTCTGAGTAAGGTGAAATTTTATTAAACTGAAAAAAAAAATACCACTTGAAACATTTATATACTATTATATATTGAAATGTATGTACACATACACACACTCTTGGGAATTTGTGATAGAGATGAACTATGACTTCTCCAATGTTTCAATTTCCACCGGTGTGATGTCTTCAGAACAGCACGACCCCGAAACCAAACTGACAAGAAAATCGAAGATATCAGTGGCGACGACAGCCGACGCTACATCGTCCTTGTGCACTGTCCTTCTCTTCCCTTCGAGGGTGGTCATCCAAGACCTCCGAGTGAGCTCCTCTATGAACATCTCACATGCCTTTGAGAACACAATCGGAGCCTCCCCAGATATCATCTTCACATCCTCCCCAGAGTTCTTCATGATCTTCTTGATCCTCGCCAACGGTAGCGAGTGGGGCCCTGTTCTCCCTGATATGCCACCACACATCGTCAATCCCGAATACCTTCCCGGTTGCCTCATTTCTACTAACAATTAAAACTCTCTGATCTCAGGTATAGAGGTAAATATTTCTTTTTACTAACAAAACGAAGTTTAAGTTGTTTACGACTTTTCAGTCTATAAGTAGAGGTGTGAGGAGAATGAATAATGCTGTGGGATATGAAGGTGCATATATAAGGAAGCAGCCGGCAGGCCTGGCCAGCCGGCTAATTAAACCTAATGACCAAGCATTAATTTGTTAATTAATGTATATGACTTCAATAACCATGTTTATTTTTCAAAGATTGCAATTAATAAGGATGAATTGTTAAAATGGTCAAGCTTATATATACGTGGGACGTCAGCTTAAAAGTGGCGACAAATTTCTCAATTGTGTGCTATAGCATGCAATTATGGACATATACAAATTGATCAAGGTTCATTTTTATTGTATTTTATTGAGCTTTGTATTGGTTTCTTATGTTTGGCTTTTGAAGCTCAATTAGAAAAGTGTTCGATCGGTTGGGATTTGGTCTAGTTTTGTTGAATAAATAATTTTAGTCTAGGCATGCAGCAGCTCATAGTTATGATGCTTGTTGAGATATGATCTATATATATTAGTCTACTGGTAAATGATAATACAAAATTTGAACTGATTGGGTTTGAAAGCTGGCCAAGATTTCAATTGATAATATATAAATAAGAATTAAGAAATCTATTAATTAATTTGTTTTATTTTGTTTCTTTACGTAAAATTTTCTTTAGGTAAATTTCACAATTTAATCAAGAATTCATAGAATCAAATGAAGCTGATTTTTTGTGATCAATTACATTATATGGTCATTAAAGGCTAGGTAGGTTACACTGTTCTAGGTCGGACTAACCATGTTAGCCGTCCGCCCACCACCAGTACCACCGCCAGCCTTAGCCAGTGCACCGCCTGTAAAACTGGTTATGGTGAAAATATTGAACACGTGGGACCGCCACAATATTGAACACGTGGTGAAAATATTAGAAGACATGCACAGACTGACACACCCCGACCTCAGTCGAGGCATGCTGGCTGTCACTTGAAGGTGACGTAACCATGTGCGTTGTGCGGAAGTGGTAATGATATGAAAATGCGAATAAAAAAAACCTGCTAGTTATCTTACCTTAGACTAGCCTATAAGTAGGAGTGAAAGTGATTAGAGTAAGGACACACACAACCAGAGCATAGGTATCGAAGTGCAGTCCAAAAGACTAAGTAATTATTATACAGATCATAAAAGAAACCCTACACTGGTGGATGTCTGTTAGAATCGCCGTGAAGTCCTCGTGAGCCACCGGCACGAACTTCTATCTAGAACTTGGAGGGGCGCAAAACAGAAAGTGTGAGTGGGCAAAAACAAAACTTTCAAAACCATTTATCTTTTCAAATGTAATAAGCCCTCACTGTAAAACCCGTATAAGTTTCCTAGAAAATAATACTGTAAACATATATGAAAACTATACTAGAGAATAACCAAACCATGTGTATGCCATGACAATTATCTTAACCATGAATAAGTAAGCCAGGTGAATTGCACTAATATAAAGTGGCATATCAACCGGATTCACCTAACGTGACCTGTACGGCTAAATCAATAACTCAACAATCAAATAAAATCCTGTACACGAGTCAGAACCACTTATGTGGTCTGTACGACAAGCTAGGTGTAAATAAGTACGCTCAAGTGCTACGATCACGTGAAAGCTGTGTGAAGTATCGCAAGTCACCTATGAGTCGGAACCACCTAATGTGGTATGTACGACAGGCTGGCACTTGCCTTGGATTCAAGGTGAGCGTGTGACGATCACGTGAAGGCTAGGCCCTATCCTCGGGTAGAGCACTAACACCAAGGTGCATGATATAATTCACTAAAAGCAATTCATCATACTCATACACATTACCGTCGCAACCATCACTATATACTCACCTGAAGCTTACCTGAGCATCCACATCGTCGAGCAGTAATATGTACAATTATATTATAACATATACTAATATGTAATGCATATGACATGGTATTTAAAACATAAAAACCATTTAAACAGTTTCTGGGAAACATAAGGCATATATAAGTATATATATAAAACCAAAAAGCCCACTCACTGGTATGTAGCCGGGTCGTAACCCCTAAGTTTCGCCTGGCTACGCTCGTTCTCTGGAAATGTCTCACCTATACGTGAAATGACTAATTTAATGTTGTTTTTAAGCACATAACCATCACTATGAAATAACTTCTCATACGTTGCTCACTTGGGGTGTTTGAATATACTATCATGGCCTACTCAACACCCCGAGCATCCCTATATTTTTAGAATAATTTTCCGACGACCCACTTGTCGACCACGCACAGGCACGTACTTGGCACGCTAACGGTAACCCTAACGCCGTTAGGGAATATTCCGTTAAAAAATAGAATATTTTGTTAAATATACTTGACGCCGTTAAGAATATTCCGTCAAAGTTGACGGAATATGCTCTGTCTTCTCCGGTGGTTTGTCGGAATTCGTCACCGGCCACCGTTGCACTTGCCGGTTTCTGGAAAAACTTAGAATCTCAATATCTCCGTCGTTTCAACACCAAATTTCATGAATTTTATACCAAAATGAAGCTCTAAACGAGTAGAACATATCCTTACCTGTTTAGAGTCCTAAAACCAATGGTATATGGTCATAAAATTTCTTTGATAGTCCGGCCAAATATGTAACTTGACAAACCCGAGTGTCCCAATGTCAAAACTGTTCTAAAATTGTTCCAAAGTGCTAGTGGAGCAAGAATAGTACCTTATTAAGTCCCAAAACTAGCTAAAACCTTCACAATTATGTCGAAGAAAATTACACCCCTCGCCGGAGCTTATGGAGTCTCGTGTTTTCGAAGGCAAACCACTTAACAAAAGGTATCACCGTGTTCTAGGGTTCGAGAAGAGTAAGAATCTGGAAACACCAAGTTCGATCCGTAGTGTTTTGGTTTAGTTTGAGGGTGAATGCTCTCGGTTGTATGGACGGGGAATAAAATTCGAGAAAGAAGGAGATGATGCAGGTTGCACGTGTGCATGTGTGTGTGGCCACAGGTTGACCATAATAAAATAGCCTTAAGCCCTAATTGGGCTGCATGCTTTGGATTCACGCAATTAAACCCAACCCAATTCCTTTACAACATCTCCACTACGTACCCAACTCGGCCCTAAATTACATCCATGTTCCAAGGCCCACAAGGGCAAAATAGTCATTTCAGCGCACTCGAGGATATAATATATTATAATTCAGGATGGGACAGACCACATTCAGAAGTTAAAGAAAATTTTCCTCTCTTCGATTCCTTGAAATTAAGAGGTAGTTTGATAATTATATTATTTTTAGTTTTAGATTTTTTTTTTTTTAACATGAAAACTAAAGTAAAAGTTACATTCTTTTAGTATTCAAATTTTGACTTTTGGTTTTAGGGTTTCATTTTTTTAAAAATTAAAAATAGTTATTGAATAAGTTTCAGTTAAAAAAAAAATAAAAATGAAAACTAAAATTGAAAACAAAAAACAAAATGGTTATTAAAGACCCTAAAATGAGAATTGGTTCTTATTAGGCAGTCCTAATACAATTGAATTTTCGGGCAGCTATTTTAGCAGTACCCTCTTTTGTATCTAAAGTTTTAAAATTACTTCAATTCTACTTAGAGCAAGTTCACCCATTAGGAAGACAAGGGTAAGGGTAAGGGCAATGCAATGAAATTGCTATGACTATTCACTCAAAACAGTAATTGCCTTTACAAAGTCCATCTGTTTGGAAAAAGGAATGACAATGGCGATTACTATTCAAAAAAAAAAAAAATATATATATTATGTTTTCTTGGCCTTGTTCTCTATATTGTTGTAAATGGAAGTGTGAATGCCCATTGTAATAATTAAGCAACTAAGTATGACCACATCTTTACAACAGTGTCAAAGAGAGTAGGTTTGGTAGGTTTGTTAGATATTTTGCCTATAAAAGATTGAAAAACAAAAGAAAGATGAGAAGTGAGAAACATATGGAGGAAAGGAAAGAAAAGAGGAAAGGAAGAGAGAAACGATAGATAAGGTATGCATGAGAAAATATTAGTGAGCCAAGATAGAGAGAATAGAAAATAGTAAGTTATTTTATATACCTATTATTTCAGATAATGAAAAAAAGTTCTACTGCTACCTTCGAAGACGTAGGAACACTTGGCACACTTGCCGAACCTCATAAATATTGTGTCTTATTTGCTTTATATTCCACTGCACACATATCCTTAATTTCACAACACGTTATCAGCATGAGAAGCTCTCGTGTCGATAGAAAGCACAACACCATAAATCCGGTGAAGCACTACCTACCTTTCACCTCTGCCGATTGGAATCTCACATATAAGAAAATCCTTTTACTGTATCTTCATACTTCTGTACAACTAATTTTCTTAAGGCTAATATACATCTGATTTGAAAATCTTATAGCCATGTAAACAGCCTCTGAACTCTAACTTCTTGACCTAGGATTGAAATACTTCCTTCTTGAAAGTTGTTCGTCCCCCCAATAAGTATAACATATCCAAATTTCAGAAAAATCCAATAGTGTGATTGTTGCAGATGTTTAAAACACCAACCCAGTTTCAAATTTTGCAGAAAACTGGACATCCATTTTATGAGTGCCAAAACCCCAGTTGCAATAGCTCATATTGAAATGGTTTCCTTGCAGAAGCTATTCGTATCCCTATCTATATCATACTAAAATTTGAGCTAGATCCCACATTTGATCTTCCTATTATTCTCATACATTACTGTTGATACATGACCACTGTTAGAAAGAAAAAATGAAGTATGGTAAGTTAATATTTACATTTTCCTTATCATTATTGATCTTGTTATTATTGTGATTGGTGTGATATAATTGGCCACCATACATTAAAGCAATTCAATTATAGTGGTTGGAATTACCGCCTTCTCCTTTAATTTACTTATTGTACTATATTTTGTTATGATGAGTATATACAGAACCCGAAGTTCCTTGATCAAATTAGAACCTGAAGTTCCTTGATCCTCATCATATAAAAAGATCGGACTTGAAAATCCTTGATCGTCATCATATAAAAGATTAGACTTGAAGTTCCATTATATAAAAAGATTGAACTTGAAGTTCCTTGATCCTCTTCATATAAAAAGATTAGACCCGAAGTTCCTTGATCAAAATTAAAATCTAAAGTTTTTGAATTAATTGAGAGATCAACAGCTCCTCAACTTAATTGAAATGATAGCCATAATCACCTCAATCCACATACTATTAAATAAGGACCAGAAGTTCCTTGATTCATGTAAATGAGAACCATAAATTCCTTAATCCATGTACAGATTAA